AAAACCATGCACCCAGACTGAAAATTTCTCTATCTGTTATTGATGTTCGCGACGAATTGTCATATTTGTAGTATCAACAATTCACGTCCACTAACAACCCACTAAATGAAAGTTTGTTATTTTACTTTTCTCTTAAAAGAAAAAAGTAAAATAACAATCTTAGATGTTCCACTGCTGGGCAAAGGCCTCCTCCGTACAGAGGGTATTAGGCATAGTACACCACATGGCGCCACTGCGGATTGGTGGACTATGTGAAGTCTTCTTCAAAATATTTATTTTTATCTCAAGATGTTTTCCTTCACCGCGGAGCACGTGATAATTCAAAACTTAAAATTAACAATTTCATTGGTTCTGGCACCAGAGATCGAACTTAGATTGCTCGAGTATATTGAATTAAAGGCGAGCGCCCGGGCACTGAGCTATCACGGCTACACTATCCTTTCTCTTATGTCAGCCTAAATCAGGTTTATCCATTGTTCCATTATATTATGACTTTCGTTGCCCTTATTGATTCGCCATTGTGTACGGATCGTTTTTATAACTGGGATGCAACAAAAAATCAAGTATCCACGCATCTAGAAGGTAACGCACCGCATTCTTTTTTTATGGTTTGGTTTTTTATAACATGTTACCAAATCATTGAATTTTTTTCTTCTTACATATGTAAGCTGTCAACCTCACCTAGCTTTACAAGTTTCTTGCGTATATATTTTCTTAAAATACTTGTTTTTACCTCAATGTTTATATGGAGAGCAAAAACAAACATTTTCGCTATATTTTGCTTAATATTTCCAAATCGAAGTTGTTAATTGTTGGGAATTGATATTACACCCACCACATATAGCTCTGATCTGTCGCCATCGAATTACTACTTATTTCGATACCTGGAAGGGGGCCCGTCGATGTAAAACTTTCAATCATGATGACACTGTAAAATCTCACTTAACTCAGTTTTTGGCCGAAAAGGATCATACTTTCTACGAGCGTGGAATTTTCAAGTTGTCAGAGAGATGGCGTGATCGAACAAAATGAAAAATACATTATAGATTTAAACTTCATTCCAAGTAAAAAAACAAATGTTTTATTTTATTTAACAAATGACAATTGTTTCCGAAATTAATCACTGTCCTATCAATCGTGTAACGCAGGTAAGAGATTTAGGTGTATTACTAGATTCTAAATTAACTTTTTCGGAACATTACAATGTGATATATCATAAGGCTCTAGAATGTTAATAAGTCACTAGTAATCAAACTCAACTCATCCTTTTGGCAACTCAAATGATATTTGAAAAGCCATTTGACAGCTGATTAGTTAACTTCTACGATGATCAGTATTTTGGAAACCGGAGTCAGTGATAAAAAAATCAATTTAATTTGATTATTCTCAGAGTTCTTTTATATTTATGGTTAGGTACCCAAACGGTAAATCATTTGGGTACGTAACCATTACCTATTACTGTACCGCTGTCTGTCTGTCTATCCGTCTGTCACCAGCAAAGATCTTATACTTATGAACTTAGTAAGGTCATTGGTCACCAGGCTGTATCTCATGAACCGAGATAGACAGTTGAAATTATCACAGATTTCACTAAAAAAACTTTCATGATATCCCTTACAACAGACTTATTATATATTTGCCACTTTTATTGATAATGATACGGGACCCTTCATGCGTGAGTCAGATTCGCACTTGGCCGGTTGCAGTCAATATATCGATGGTCCCTAGGTAAAATATCGAAAGTGAAAAATGCAACTTTTCAGGAGAGCGATTTAAAGTTTATTTTTTGCATAACTTTGTCATTTATGATAAGAACTTCATAAAAATATGGATTCACAGTTGTATTGGGCTTATTAATTATTACGTCATTGCAAAAATCGATAATTATAAATAGTTTTCGAGAAAAGTAAGTTACGATAGTATACAGTGTAAATGAACTTGCTTTATGAATCGAAACTGGCACTTTCGATTATTTACAGGGAACCGCATATATACAAATATATCGAATCTGCCGATTTCGATATTTTACGTTGGCTTATGTTAGGAATATTTTATTGAAAGTGTCATATTCGATTATTTACTTCGTAGATTGCTTGCACTTACAATTATTTTGTAATAGAAAAACAAGAAAATAAATTACGTAAAACATCTTTATTAAAGTGTGTTACAAATTAAACAAATGTATAAATTTTGATGTAAATAATATTTAAAATCAGTCTTTGTTACCAACTTATCTATGGTAAAATTTAGGAAACAAACAAAAATGTAAACTTCATTGGTAGATACGTAATACTAATTCAGAAAAAATATTCATCAGAATAACTAATCTCAAATTTCTGTCTTAACAAAAAATATTATAGTATTTCATCATAAATAGAGAATACAGAAAAATATCTTAGTAAATGAGTATTACTCATCGGACTCATCAATATTTCAGATGAAAAGAAAAATCCGTTGCCGTAAAACCTATGAAATATCATTATTTTTTGGGTATTATTTATGAACGACATAAAGAAATCAAATCTTTATACTTTGCTACTGGTAAAAGTAGTTAATCTGAATAAAGATTTTTTAAGAGGTGGTAGGACCACGCAGCAGCCTCGGCTGATGCACGAATGGGCAGACTCGTCCGGGTAAGTACCACGACCTCACAGAAGACCGGCGTAAAGTGGAAGTATAATACTTTCGTGTTTCGTCTGGTGAGTGAGGTGGCCGGAGCCCAATTTTCAATGCATCTTGAACCCTCGGGTGTAGCAAATGTCCATGGGCGGCGGTAATCACTTAACATCAGGTCACCGTCTACTCGCTTGGCAACTTTTCACATAAAAAAAAACTACGTGGGCCGACACATTCTCTTTTTGCGGCTTCTTGTTTCTATAGTAGTATTTACACAAAAATAACACTTCAAATCACATTTAAAATAGAATCTGGTTCCTCTTTTCTTACACTAACATCTTTAATGCTGTTCCACTTCACATTTTCATTTGTATTGTCTCTTTTCCAATTTTTATCAGCTAATAAAAATTAAAGTCGTAAAGTTCACTCCTGGTTTCTTCTACAACGTTGTCGGGTCTCCGTTCAGCCTTTGCCCGTCGTACTAATGCGTACGATCATCGGTTAAGAGCGTAAATTAGTTTTTTCTTAGATTATCTCTCTATGAGGACGTGTACACTATCGCCCTCGATCTAAGTATGGCCTTGCTCTAAACAACGATGAGCAATATCTACGCCAAATCGTCTTGACAACTGCATTTATAACGAATATACGATTCTATTCCTATTCTGGCCCACACAATTATCGGACCAAGTAAGAATTTCTTAGCACACTGATCTATCATTTGCGTTTAAATAATGATTCAAACAGCTACTTACTTCATTAGCTCCTCTTTTACCGGTACTTTCTATCCACATGTGCTACATGAGGATACGAAGTACTGGTACCTTCTTTAAAAGCTAAATCGAAAACAGCCAACGAAAGTTACATACCAAAGTAAAATAAAAAAGTTAAATACAGAAAATTTCAGCTTATAATAAAACAAACCAATGTCTCGTGAGTATGGATGAATACATAAGCCATTTAAAAATGTTTACACACAAACCTGTTGTGGTGTAAATGTGCTGGTAAAAAAATACTTGGACGTAAGTTGTTTTCTTGGTTTTATTAATTTTATGGGTGAACTTATTGATAAACTCCCATTGCCTACCTAGTATGTTTTCCTTTTCATTTCGACTGAGGTATTGCTGACCAGAACTTTCGTTTTTACGGGATACCTTGATCTTTTTTCCGGAGTTAGTTTTAAAAATGGGTTTTCTTTCTTTTCCTGTACTCCTACATGGAGAATTACATTCCGAAACAGTTATGTATGAGTCTGCACTTGGTAACTATAGGTTTAGCATAATCCTCACCTAACTGTTAAGACCTAACTCTAAAGACTCGGGTTCTTGTTCTCCATTTTGACTTCAGGTAATAATAGTATCCTAGGACCTATAAATAGGACCTCAAGTCAAAGTGACGAACAAGAACCCTATTTATAGAATACTATTTCTTGTACGGGAGACCCAATCATTGAAGACGCAGTTGGTGGGTATCGGTGACTCTAAAAAAGTAGAAGGTAAGTAGGTAATTTAAATAAAAATAATAAAAATATTATTTAAGAAAGTCTAGTTTTATGAATCACAGAAAATAAATATTATAAGTAAGTTACTCCACATTAATATAAGCACTTACCTATATCGAATCTTTACAAAAAAGAAATAAAATCCACCCAAAACAATCGAAAGTGGCACTTCCAATTGAAATTTGACTTCGTAATACAACGTAAAGTATCGAAATCGTCAGTTTCGATAGAATTATATTATGAAAAAACCACGTAGGTAATCGAAACCGGTACTTTCGATACTATTAGGAAATTACAACCCGTCATAAACAATCGAATCTACCCAATTCGATATATTACGCGGGATATGCACGCCAGGCGCGCATCATTGCGGCGTAAACTAGCGATAGTGGTAGTTCCGTCCTTGTTTCACACTCGCCGATGCAGCGTAATCTCGCGAAAGTTAACATTCGTTGTTTTACGCCGGATAGACTGTTACGTTTCGTTATTATACGTTTCTAAAAAACGCATACACAATGACTTTTTAAAATTTTTGCAAACCTTGTTACAAAATTACTATTATAATTTTGTAGATTCGATACTTTACCTAGGGACCATCAATATGCAGTCTGTGGATTCCAGAAGATGGAGAAACATTAACAATTGTTATATATTCTGTGCTGAGTGTGCTGTGCTTCTCTATGCGTATCGTTCAAGAATGTTATTCCTATCCAAAAAAATAATTTTTCTTCGTTTTCGCTATGTAATGTAATTTATAATATAAATGTCTTGTTTTTGCATGTAATTCATAATTCTAGTGTAAAAACATTTTTTTCATAAAATAAGTAAAATAGATATATTACTTGTATGACGTAGGACTTCACAAGACAAACACAAGTGAAAAATGGATGTTGTCGGCAGTGAAATTGGGCAGAAAATGCGGGTAAATAGAAGGATATTTCACCTTTTATATTAATTTATAATTGAGATTTTAAAAACAATAAGTTTTAAATTGTTCTCCATTTGGTATTATTGAATGTACCCTTAAATACTGAATATTGTTTGCATTTTTTACCAATAAGCAATAGTCTCATCCATCCATTTCATGATTTTCAGTCTGCTATAAAGGCCAAGCTTACAGAATTGGGATGTTATGTTGGTAAGTAAATATGCTCAAAATATCTAAAAGTTTTCACTAAGTATTGTGTTATGCATTATCTACTTTTTATATTTAGGTGGTATTATATTTAATTGTGAAACAATAACATAATTTTAGTGTATGTGGTTTTTTTAAAGATAAAAGTATTATGTAACTGGGTTAACAGTCATAAGATTCAAAATCTTTTGAAGTGAAGTTCAAGAAGCTTCCAGTGTTTTGAAATTAATTTAAGTCTAAATAAATTAACCACATCTTATCTTTGAGATGATGTTTTTAATAATATTTTTTTTTATTTTATCTTTGATCTAATATTTACAAGATTAAATCTATTTAAAATTAAATATTATCAATTATAATAAAATAATGATAAAATGACAGTTTGCGGTAGAAATTATTTCAATCTATTTACATAATTTTATTAATATATTATTTTGTATTATACTATATACATATTGTATCATAGTCTATATACATAGATTGTGTTGCTACAAAAAGTCAGGCCCCAAATACCCTAACTTTTTGTAGAATCCTGTCTAATCACATAAACTGGTTGGGTTACAGATGATGAACTACCTGACTATGTCATGGTTATGGTTGCTAACAAACGTACACGAGCACAAATGGATGAAGACTTGCAGCTGTTCCTCGGAGATAATACTGATTTATTTGTAAATTGGCTACATCAGGTGCTGAAAAAATTACAGGAAGTAACTGTCACTGCCCCACTAAGTAAGTTATTAAGCGAAATGTACATAAAAAAGTTATTCTAGCTAATTTTTCCAATAAAAAATGAAAAATCTGATAATGATCAAATTTGATAGTGAAAATAACAAGTTTTAAATAAAAAAATTTATTTAGAGAAAAATGAAAGCGTCTGGAGAATTCTGGTTGTTGAATAAATTTTTTGAGGTCCCAAATTTTACAATTTTTTAATAATGCTAATTTCATATTCCAGAAGTCATAGAAGGTGGTAAAATTAAAGAAAGGTCACAATCTAAGGAGAGGAAAGTCAAAGAGAAAAAAGAAAAAAAGAAAAGTGATAGTTCTAAGAAATCAAAAAAGAAAGAAAAGGAAAAATCACATAAAAAGAAAGAAGATAGAAAAGCTCACAAGAACAAAAAAAAGAGTAAGCATCATGGAATGATTCGCCCAAATGTACCTCCCTTGCTCATGAATATAGAAAAACAGTCTGAGCCATCAATAACAGACGTTTTTGCCGGCCAGATTCTCAAAAACCATGGTATTACATTGGAGGATGATAATATGTCTCACAAAACTTTGGACGAAAAGTCTTTAATAAAGGAAATCAAGCGGCCCATTCTACCTATAATAGATCCGGCAACAATATCGTCTCAGCCAGAATCACTTGAAGAGCAAATGAGTACAAGCATCACAAGTGCATCATCAGCTGGAGGTCCAAGAGATGAACAAAGTAAAGAAATGAATGACTCCGAAATGAAGGTATGTGGGCAAAAACAGAAATCATCTGAGCAAATTGACTCAATATCTGATGATGAAGACTTCTTGAATATAAGAACTGAAGCTGAAGAACTTATGAATGATTTTGCAGAAGAATCATTACCGGTATGTAAAATTTATTTCATCAACATTTGATTGTTAATAATAAATCAAATTATAAAATTGAAATGATCAATTTACAGGAAATATCACATAGTGCTCCAGTAGCTACTCCACCACTTGCTTCGCCAAATTCTCCACCATCCCAATCTTCCCAACAGTCACTAGTGAAAGAAAAAAATATCCCCGAAAAGCCCGAAGAATCCCTACCCCATATTGAACTTAATCTCCCAAAACGGCCCATTAGAGAGAGACTTGGAGCTCGAGAGGTATCCAAGGACGCGCAAGTAATCAGAGAGAAAGAAAAGGTTACAGCAACAAAGCCCGCAGAGAGTCCCGAAAGGTTGTTGTTAATTACAAACTCATTTAAGGTAGTAAGAAATGATATGTGGCTTATCTTCGTATTTATCCTTCTATTGAATTGGCTACCGGTTCTCAAATGACCTTTTTGACATTTGTTATTGAGTTTCAGGTTTACTCCGGAGAGACACCTGGACGTCCAAGTTGCAACTAAGTCGGCAAAAAGTCGCTTAGGCAGCTCTCCCGAGCTACCGACCCAAAGCTCGGGCTCAGAAGAAACCAATGGAGATAAATATGATCATGCAAAGAGCAAGAACTCAAAGTATGCACTTTTTTTCTCTTCTATATTACCTAACTAAATATAATCAAATGGCTAGCATGCATATGAAGTGATTGTCATATTTATATAGACACAACAAGTGAGACTGATAATCCATTACTGTAAAATTTCTAGGTACAGTTTTTGATAATTGCTTTTACAGGTATATACTGTAAAAGCCATATTAGGAGTAATGTTAGATTGTAGTTGTAGTTTTAACAACACCTAATTGTTAAAAAAAATTATTAATAGAGAAATAAATAATAAACTATAAGAAGATGAATATAAATAATTATTGAAAAACGTATAAAAGATACTTCAAATAGAAACTTTTTTGAAATTGGGCTTTTTGGAGTGGCTTTTGAATTACATAACCATCAACATCATTTCAGCCTGTATTAGTCCACTGCTGTACATAGGCCTCCCCCCACAGACCACAGAGACAGGCAAAGTATTAGATTGTATGTATCAGAAAAAAATGTCAGTTTGGTTTAACGGTTCCAAAAAGCCTGAGGTGGACAATCTCGACGTCTGGGCACTTCATACTGTCTATGTGCGTGGTTCATTTTATTTGACGAATGTTGATCATGGAAAAAGGATGGTTAAACTCTGAATTGATTGTTGCTCATACATTCGAAGAGTTCAACCATCCTTTTGGTAACTCAAATTACATTATTTGATGCTAATTAAGATGTGGGTTCATATTGCGACTGTTTCATATGGTAATGTGTGTATTAACATTATATACCTAAGTTTTTTTTACATAATTTTATTTTTATTTTCATAGAGTTTCCGTGCTGGAAAGTAGACCGCAGCGATCGAGCTGCGCGAGCGTTGTGCGCGTCCGTCCCCGGCCACGTGTCTCTGCGCCCGCCTCCAATCTACTCCTGAAGGCTGTTGCGGATGCCCATAAGAGCCTGCTCAATGTATGGCCTTATTCTAACTCGTAAAGTAACACAATCACATGTTATATCGTCGTAAGGCAATTTATTCGTTTATGGACAGATAAGATTCATCCTTTTGGTTATGAGGGAACTATGTTGACTTACATACGTATATACAGTCCTCGGACATGATGAATAAAAGCGAGCGATCGGATCTCAACTACCGCGGCTTTTATGCATCATATCCCATGACGCTTTGTATAGTTTGCGGAATACGTAGAAATGATTATCAAAATGTCAATAAGTTTTAGCCTTTTAGTAGGGTACATACACTTCATGTGGGGATCTTCTAGGTTTATTGATTGTTAATAAATTATTTAACAACTCTTGCTAAGGCGCCGCCCAAAGTGGAGTTGGAGAAGCAGAAAGTGAAACGTGCGCTAGTGCTGCCGATGCGTCGCTGCGTGGACGCGAAGAATATCGTCATCCAAGTGCCGTCGGACGTACGAACCGGTGTCTCCGTCAAAGAAGATGACATGGCTACCAGGTAATCTCTATACGTTATTTATTCTTTTTACACTCTCCTCTCGTTCACTCTCCTTTTTCATCTCCCTCTCCCTCCCACTCTCCATTGGACCTGCTCTCTGTTTGCTTTATGCTACTTCCAAACTACGAGAATTTCTGATAAATGAACATTTCATGAATTTATATGAATTCAATTATATGAATTGACTCCCCAACTTATCTAGTCTTGTGTTTTTATATAATGTATCTCTATTTCTCTTTTAGCCAAACAATTAGTGCACCAATAAATAAGGCCGATTTGAAACATATGCAAATAACGAAAGTCATTAAAAATACAGACTACCTACCAAGCAGGGCAGCAGTTAGAAAAGACGATAAAATGATAATTGAAACAATGTAAGTATGACTAACCATTTAAAGTTTTTATGAATACCATGATCCTTAACCAAAAACAATACATTTTACCCGAAATTTTTTAATAATCTAATATATAAAATTTGCTTTCAAGTGTTTGTAATTGAATCCCTCCAAAACGGCTCGACCGATTTTCGTGAAATTTTGTTTGCATATCGGCCAGTGTGGAATATCGGACAACATCTATATTTCATCCCCCTCAATGCTAAGGGTGGTCCACCCTAAACAGTTTTTTCTACCCTACAAATTCTCTAGAAAAAATTTATATGGCAGAACAACGATTGCCGGGCCAGCTAGTTAGATATAAATACCAATCACAATAATTAAGTAACACTTTATTTTGTGTGACATTACGCCAGCTATTTTTTATTTGAATTGGCCTTAGATATTATTATACCAAACCAACCGTCTTTTTTCTCACTGTTATAAAATTCAAATATATTGAATTATTTCAGTAACATCCACAACCCAACAGTTGATAAGGACAGGGACACACAATTCATCGTCACTATGGATGGCTACCTTCCAAATGCGTTCCTAGCGAAGAAACTGATGATGGAAGGACTACTTGATGATGAGGACATTGATAAAAATCAGCTCATCAGGCCTCCCAAAAGTGTCCTAAGAGCAACTGACAAGAGAGAAATAGAAAAAGCGAAAGTGGCTGAACAGCCTAAAGTCAAAGGAGATCAACCAAGTACACAAATCACACATAAGGTCCAAGATGAAGAATCAGAAGAAAGTAGCGACACCCTAAAGAAAGATTCAAGTGATTTGAAGAAATCAACAGATACTTGCAAGACACAGAAGAGAAAACTAAGTGACTCTACTGAGAAGACAAACCCTGTCGTTACATGTCCTATTGAGAAGAAAAGATTAAGTGACTCAAGTGATATTCAGATGAAGAGACTTAGTGATGCAAGTGAAGAGAGTGACACTCAAGTTATAATAAAGCAGGAGCCTCCTCTCTGTGGAGAGAAGAGAAAAGGTGCGGGTGCTGTCAGTGAGAGTGAGAATTCTGAGAAGGCTTTGGATGTTCCACCTGTGAAAAAGAGAAAAGCATCCCCAATCGTATTTGATGCTGATAAAGTAGAAAAAGAAGCTGATAGATCGAGAGAGAGAACACAGAGTGCCAGTAGCGACAGTCATGTTATAGTCACCACAGCAACTAATTCCCACAAATATGACACATTGCCCCCATGTAAGTTGCTACAAAGCTTATTTTGTAACCTCTATTCTAGATTATAGAAATTTCTAGAGATTTTAGTTTTTAAGTGATTTGTTTGTACAATCGTTTGATTCCATCATCATCTTATCGAGTAGGTATACAATAAAAAAATCGGCCCAACTCTGAGCTGCCACGACTCTATTGAATCAATTAGAGCAGTGAGCCAGGTGGAAAAAGGAACAGAGAGGTGTACGTGCGTGCGTTCGTGCGTGCGTGCGTGCGTGTGTGTTACCCTCTGTGCTGCTGTATAATAGTTTGGATCCATCATCATGTTATTGAGTATGCTATGAAAAATCAGCCGTCACGTCTCTATCGGATCAATTGGCGCAGTGAGCCAGGCGGAGAAGAGGCTGGTGTGGTGCCGCTCGTTCCCGCTGTGCCGCTACGGGGCGGCGTGCGCGTTCGCCCACCCGAGGTGCAAGTTCGCCGCCGCGTGCACGCGCCGCGGCTGCGTCTACGCGCACGACCCCCCCGCCGCCGGCGCGCCTCCCCCCGCCACGGGCCCCGCGCTCTGTGAGTGTAGATCCAGCGCGCTGACGTCACCAAACCCCCCTCCCCTCTCTGCGCGTAGAGCCGGCGATGCGGACGCCCCTGCGTCGGCACAGGGGCGCTCTGAGCTTATGCCCGGTGGGATCAGACGGCCCCGCCGCCCTGCCACTACAACCGCCCCCCCTCCCTTCCGCCGCCCTGGAACCTCCCCTCGTACTCCCGCCGCACTGACTCACCGTGTGAGTAGATCCGATGAAGTAACTTCGTGCGCGGCAACCACGGCGCTCTGCGGGTGTGGATTGGGTGCGGCAGACCGAACCCCTCGCTACGCCCCGTTGAGATATTCACATCAGCCGCGCGGAGTGCTCAGTCGCGTTGTGACGGGCGATGATGTAATGATTGTCACGCTTTCCGTATGACCTGCGAAGTATGCCGTGGGGTAACGCAGAGCTTCTGTCGTCGCACGAATGGGCGGGCTCGTCCGGAAGCGGAAGTGTTGTGCAGTCACGTCTAGCCCGGCCGGCAGTGAGGTGACCGGGGCTCGCTTCTTTTAAAGGCTGGCAACGCATTCGCTACCTGTTTAGTGTTGTGGCCACGGTCGGCGTTTAATAATTACCGTTAGATGAACCGCCTACTCGCTTGCCGACTCTACCAACGAAAAAGGTATAAATATTTCTACTTTATCTCGTTCGGCGGTCCATTCGTTCTCCGACAGATACTGCCGTGTCGAATCGATGTATCGCAGAAATATAGCCTCAATGCCCACTAACATTGCATCGCCAGTGAAATAGACTTATTCTGCTACTATTTGAGTCATTACAGAAGCATAACATTTGCATATAAAATCCAATATGGTGGAACCAATGAATGCACATTATTAATACTTTATTTCCTACATGACGAATTACGACACTAAAATAAAAGTACACGGATACTTTTGTTCGCGTACTTAAAAGGAGTTCAAAGAATCTGTTTCATCGTTTAATAGTTATGCTGCCCTGTTGTATTACGGTACCCCGTAATCATAGTTGAAAGTGTTGTAAATACATGAATAAATAAACAATTGGTACAATTTATTTGTCCCGTCGCAGCGTCCCACGTGGTGCCAGCTGCCAACTACAAAACTATCTGCGCGGCAGGCGTGGCCAATATGTGCAAGTTCTACCCGAACTGCGTGAATCCCGCCTGCCACTTTTACCACCCCAAGCCGTGCAGATACGGCAAGGCGTGCGTCAACAAGCTCGAGTGCAACTTCTACCACAACGACGTGCCCTCGGGCAAGTGGAAGCATCCCGTGTAGAAATAAAGAGATATTCAGTATTATGAGTGGTCTTATTTTGCAAATCATCAGTTCGACACGTAACCCTAATTAGATTTGACTTCCTTGTTACTCGAAGAGTAAGGTTATTAAACTGGCATTTGCAAAATTTTATAAAAGTCACGCATCTACGCATCTACTAAGACACAACCGATCAGCCATTAAAGTCGTTAGCATGGATTAATGACCATGTGCACTCCACATTGGACCACCCATGACACTATGACATTCTTATCAACGACTGAAAAAAATATATATAAGTACATTAAATTGTGTACACAAGCCTGTGTAGGTAAGTAGATAATACATATGATATAGTTCCATCATGGCGTCGCGTAAGCCGTCCTACGTTTTACACAAAAATACAAATGTAATAAATATGTAATTTGAGTGCCTTCTTTTTAGTATATAATTGAAATATACGATTTAGAAGTAGCGACTACACAAATCTTTAAAAAGCAATACCAAATCAATTTAATTTCACGGATATTTAAAAACTAACTTCTAAACTTATACTTAAAATAATACTAAACTATAAAACCATACAAAAGAGCACTGCACAATTTATTTTTGCACCCTGCGTAATTCATATTACCATATGGCATTAATTTTGATTTACCTTTTTACACTATTTTATGGTATTTTTTTATCTTAGGTAATCCTTTTAAATTTGAACCACTTAAAAATCAGAACGTCCAAAAAAACTACCATTATTTTTTTACACTTACGATTAACTACTACTGTGGTCACGGAGGTGATATGTCTTTATTTCAGACCATCGAGAGAATTACTGCTCGTACAGATTACACCAGCGATTATGGTGTAGTAACGAAAGCTACATTCAAATATTAAGCTTATGGTAGGGTTAAGCAAAATCTTAATTTTTTTTTATAAACAGCCTGATTGATTTTGAAATTTACTGCTTCACTGTATTTTGAGAGTTCATTGATTGAAGATTCTCGAATCTCTAAGAACCTAATATTTTTAATAATTTTAATTAAAAATATGTTTTTCACGTTTCATATTTAAAAAACGCTTAAAATATTTGTAGGTAAATAATATTAATCACAAAAAAAATCTTTAATCGGGGTTTGAAAAGCGACTTAAATATTTCCTTTAAATGTGGGTTTAATAGATAAACTGTCGAAAAATCTTCGCTACTGCCAAGAATCGATCCAGCGCCGATAACATTTTTCCATTTATCTATTAAACTAAAATTTAAATTTCGATAATAAAAAAAATGTTTGTAGCATAAAAAATATATTTTTCCTCGCCCTGGATGTTGCACAACAGGAAAGGCAGGAATTGACAAATGTCTTAATAGGGTAACCTATTGCCGAAATACTCTCCTACGCGATCATTGAGACCAATTGAGCTCAACCTTTGACCAAAAAATATGATTCGATAGTCTTCCATTTATCAGATTTACGACTGTAGCCCCTAAAGTCTTTGTAAAATAGTCGTAATTGCTATGCAATAAAAATATAATTCGATTTGATATGTAGGCGTCGACTAAGGTTCGTTAATGATATATAAACGTCGAATAACTAGCAAACAGAGAAGACCACTGTCAATGATACAATATTATAGGTTTAATATTATAGATATTGATACAAAATGTTTATACAGTGTACCTGTATAAAAATTTTGCCCAACCACTAAACATAAATTAACAATTTAATTGGCGCCGGGGATCGAACTCAGGTTGCTCGAGTATATTCAATTAAAAGCGAGCGCTTGGAAAATGAGCTCACGGCTCTGAAAAATCTTGACTGATTTGTTCACATTTAGCGTAATTTGAACAAATAAATCAGGATTTTAAAAGTTATAGTTTTTTTGGCACGTTTGGTAAAAATATGAGAGTATAACGTAAATATGTACGATGCGAGCGCTCACCAACAGTCAGAAAGCGACATGATGAAGTTGGTTCTCTTGAAGGGGAAAGCCACAAAGAAAAGTGGAAAGCCACTTTTTTTCTCTTCCTTCTTTTTCGAATTTCGACACTGTTAAGACGGAATGTTGATTTCAAGACATCAACCGCAGATCAACCCCGTATTCGTAATAATAATAATTTTCAGGTAAAATCCTATGGCTTTGTTACAAAAAATAAAGGCTCACATCTCAGCGCGTCTTTATTGTGGATGTATTAATTCCTTTCTTTAGAAAGGAAGTCGCATTTTTTATATTGTATTCAATTCTAAAGAAATTACCAACACAAATATTTTGCTATATGCAGCCCTATATGGAACACGGTTATTCGCAACCAATTTTATTACCTAAAAGAGCGCCATTAGTAATATTGACGCTGTTGTATGTACAGATAGAAAAACACGACACATGATAAAAGTGATAACAATCATAAATAGATTCTCTTCTGCTAGGATAAGTTTGAGTAAATATTATTATCTTTTTTTAATTAACATATATTCATACTTCGTAGTCGTTCTTGTCACAGAGGTCCAGATACTTAAACTTGTGTATAATTAAATAAAATGATTTTATCCATAAAATTTACTACTCGGATAAATTGATCCGTTCAAGCGATGATTTTATCTTTGGAAGGACGTTACAATATGCAATCCCATAAAATACTGACTTAGGCGTAAATATGCATACAAATTTTTGTTGTCTCAATTTTAGTCTGTTTAACAGAATAAAATTCCTTCTCAAAACACAATATACTTAATTATATGAAATTCAAAGATAACAAGGAAGGTAGGACGATGCATTCATTCTATTCATTAGCAAATATAAAAGGAATTTAAGATTGAACTTTATTACTATGACATTATGAAAAAACTCGATAATTATGTCGGATGCCTAAATGGAAGATTTGTTAACAAGTAGGTACCTTTATCTTCTACAGACCTCAGTAGTCATAAAGAGTTGCTATACTCGTTAAAATTACGCTATTATATTTAAAAGAAACGGTTTAGATGTTAATGAATTCGTTACGTAATATTCAGTTTTCTGTAGTCACATACATGAATACGCCAATAGCAGTAATTTGCTTATGTTGGCGGCTTGGAGTTTTTGTTTTTGGTTTCAAATAGCAGACGTCGACAACTATGTGTTCATTCGATACTTTATAAACGTTTATGCATGTTCCTACTATTATACATATATTAGGGATGTCTCCAAAGACTTAAACACAGGAAATGAAGTATTTGAAATTTTGAATACAGGTAAATTGTCGAAATTGAGAGTTTGATGTGTCAAGTTACTTAAACGGCAACTTTTGTTACGTGAAAAAGTTTAAAAATGAGTTTAGTTATAGCACAATATATGTTTAAGGTATACATGAAACGCAAATATTGATCAGAAAGGATGCGAACTGTTAAGGGTGAAATGAAAGAAAAATCTCAAGATGTCTAAATATTTTTGGGGCTAAGGCTTACAAGTAACCGATTGCCCCTTTAGGAGGCTAAGTAAGTATGTTTGAAAGAAAATAAATAGCATTAGCATAGCGATTTTGCCAACCCGCTTTTTTAGAAATTTTATGAGTTAAAGAAGTTTTGTTTATCCCATAAAACTTGATATAGTGGTAAAACTAGGAAAGGTATACGATTGTGTCTTCAATGAGCATATTAAGTAATAGATCGATGGAAGTATTGAAATTTATCGAGTTTATATTTGATTATCACTAGGCATTAGTGATACTATTCATTGTAACTCTTATACAATTTCACCTAGAAAATCAACAAGTGCATTATATTACGCTTATCATTCTAGATTATCATTTGAATTGTGTGCACAAATAAACTATTTCTGATCTAGTGCATCCAAGTCTAAATTCGTTGTGTTCACCTCGACTAGCGCGATGCACTTACATTATTAGTAGCAAAGGGCATCGATGTTTCGTACAATTTACATTTTCGCATGTAAGCTATATTTCATGCGATAGTACAAGAATCGTTTTGAGACCTCTTGTGATGTCGACTTGACATTCCGACGGTCCCCTGTGCGTACTAAATCAATTGATAATACAACCGTGAGCACCCCTATCATCCTGTGATTACATAGTCCGCAATAGGGAATGAGACTCTTCTGACTCGTGTACGTTAGTGCAGTGAACTTTGGCAAGTAAAATTTAGTTTGCTACATACAGTCCAGCGAGGATCGTTGTTGACAATACTGCAGGTAAGTCATGTTGTTATGTTAATTTATAGATTTTTTGGTAATTTCTACTTTATATGTACCTATGCATTTTAATTAAAAGAAATCAAGCCTAGAGCATATCTTATATTTCTTCAATACATTAATTACGCTTACGAAAGCGAATTGAAATACGAATTTCGCTTAAAATTCAATGGTAATAAACTAACGCCCGGTTTCTGAAACACTGATCATCGTAGAAGTAAACTTTTCAGCTGTGAAATGCCTTTTCAAATATCATTTGAGTTGCCAAAAGGATTTTTAAGGTCTCTGAATTGATCATAATGATCTTCTTAATGATCAGAATGTATATAAAACATATAAATAAAAATACGGCTTAGATCGGAACCGAAACTGACGGTGGTACCATTGAGTAATATAGAAACCTTACATATAAACGCAGGTTTCACTAGAGTCGGTATTTTTTTTATTATGTATGGCTTCTTCACTACGACTGTTCTGTTTCTGAATCCCTATAAGATATGTGGGGTGCAGTAAAAGTTTCCGGAATGAATAAGAAAAAAATAGTATTAAAGGTCAAAAAGGAATTTATTGTTTTTTAAATATCGTCACTTTGAGTAAATGCACTTATTTTACAATTTTGAAAGCATTTGTAGCACTCCTCAGTGGTGACCTCATAAACTTATTTTTCATAATTATTCTTCGACAGCCTCTTCTGGTGATGAAAATCTTTGCCTTCTTGAATTGATTCTTAATTTTTGGGAACAGAAAAAGTGACAAGGTACAGCCAAAGACTTCCATTTTCAAATGTTGGTTTACTTTTTTAATATTGTTGATGTAAGTGGCCAGCTCCTGAAACCTTT